ATAAAATTTCGTAAAGTTTCCTGTGAAATAAACTTAAAATATTGCTAAAATATTGCCTCAATAAAAAACATTTATAAAGGGTATATAATAAATATTTAAGAGCAAATATACAAGATAGAGCAATGTATATTCGAGATTAATTAAAATCCTGAAAGCTTCGGTCTTGGATTTTACAATTTATGTACGAGTTCCAATTACATTCTGTTCGGTTGATTTTAATTTCATTCATCTCGACCGAATTGTACTCCGTCTACTCCGGAGAACGTGTCCATCCACGAGGAAATTCAAAGACGCATATGGGGGGAATGTGTACCGGTGAAGGAAGTTAATTCAGTGCGTTCGCGGTAGTGCCTTGGCGAACGAGCGCGACGATCCACCTTGATCGGACACGCGAGTTTTCCGAACGCGGAAAGGAGAGGCGCCGGCCGCCCGGGAGAGACACCCGGATACCGATCGTCCGCGAGCGCGATTTCGAGGAGCTGCGATGCGACACACGGGTCGATTTATTTAACCCTTTTGATTACCGCGGGCGGCTGCACGCACGCCCGCGCGCCGGACGGTCTCTCCCTCGTGTGTAAATGAATTGTAAATTGATTCCCGTCGACGAGACGTGCCGGCTCTGTGCTCCTTCTCTCTCTCTCTCTCTCTCTCGGGAGAAACTCGATCCTCGATCTGCGTGTCTTCGAATATTACCTCATCTCAATTAAAAGCGGCGTCCGTTTCACGTTAACGTAACACTTTCATCGCTCGTCACGTCACGTAACTCGTGCGTACCGATCTCCGATTTCCGGCATTATCTCTATCTATCCCTTTCCTTCGAAGAGATGACACGTGATGCTGCGTGACAGATATCTCTTTTTATACTTTATGAAAAAATGTATGTATGTAATTTGTTAAGTATCGAGAGACGCGCCCGGAAGTGAAAATATGTCTCGGCTGTGTTTTCGATATCATTAGAAGATTCTCTAGATACGTAAGAAATTCTCTTTCTATGCGAAATATTTCAATATGATAAAAGGGAAAAATATTGATAATAAATCTTAATTCTCACTCTTTCAATAAAATCTCTAATAATTTTAGGAATATTCGAGTATGTGTACAAATACATGCACACGTATTCTAATATCTGCCTGTTAAAATTTAAAGATAATTACAAAAATATTCAAAACTTTTCAATCAAATATTTTCGATAATTTATTATTATCATTATAAATATTATGTGCATAAAAATATATAATTTTACACGGTTGGTAAATACATAATTTTAAACGCTTGGTTGTATGCAAGTACATATGTGTAAGAAATAATTATGTGACAAAGTGAGGTAAAATAAACGGTAAAAAGAACCGTATTGATCGACGAACAATTCAGACGAGTCTTCTTCTCGATAGGTGTTAAGAGCCTATAAAAGCGATTCGATATGAATTTATCAAGGCCAAGCTCAAAGTCATTGCGGCTCGCCGCGTTAATCATGTCATTGATCATTGTCAACGCACGATCGTGCGGCGCCGAGACCAGCGGCGAATATCTTCAGAAGGCGATGATCGAGCTCCAGGAATTAAATGTGCCGTCTAACAGCCTGACGATGAACGACCGGTTCTCAGCGAACCTGAATTATCACACGGGCTATCAAAACGATTATATTCAGGATAACAGATATCGCAAGATCGGCACCAACGATGTTCATCAGGACGCGCAGAAGCCCGTTGCGGCTGTGCCTGTCGAGCATGTGAACATGGCTCATTCTGCCGCGAACAACATAGCGGAATATTACGCGGTATGTATTTCATATTATTATATTATTATATTATTAAGTTAAAATTAAAATTGATGAAAGAGAAAAAAATTCGTAGAGATCATCTTGCGATATCTATATGTGTATCATTTCTCTGAAACTTGAAATCTCTGAAAGTTTGACGGGGGTCTTTGTCATTTCTTTTGTTTTAATTCTTCCAAATATATTATTACAAAATATAATTAAATAAAAATAAAAAAAAATTAAATTTAAAATATCATTATAAAATATAATCTCTTTGTCAATTTGATTATTAATCTTTAATAATTTTACGAGTTTGATGAATGATCTTTCCTGTTCCTTCCTACGTTTTCCTATTTATTTTAACTCTTCGAGATATCAATTTTCCTAATTCCTCATTTATCTCTCGGGTTGATTGTCAGACATCCAGGCAGTTGACAAATAGACTGTCCATTACATTTTCCAGGTACGCGACCCCACTGCAACGGCCAGTTACCCGAAGGTGAGGCAGCCGGAGCCGCTGGCGTTCACGCGAGCGGAGCTGGCCGCGTTATACAAAAAGGCCTTGGAAAAAGGGTCAGCGATCAGCGTGGCATCGTTGACGCAGGCTCTTAATGCCGCGGGCGGCAACGGCAATGGCAATGCGCCATCGCAGACCGGTCACCTGCCGCTACCGATTAAACCGATGTACAACTACTACTTCTTTCCGCTGAAGAGCTTTGCCTCTGAACTGCAGAGGGATCATCAAGAGGCCGCGGTAAGCGAAAGTCACAGATCCGTTGCGCCATCCGTTAGGCGCGAGCCTGCGGATTTTTATCGACGAGCCGGTGTAACCAGATTTTATTCAAGGATTTTTATTATATCGGCATTCGCCAACCACCTTAAAATATACCGAAAAACCTGGCGCAACAAGATCAACTTGTGAGAACGCGAGGCGTTGCTCGGGGCTCATTTTCCTATGTACAATGTATGAAACAAATGACGTGTGTGGCCACTTGTAAGACACATAGTGAAAAATTTAGAAAAAAAAGAAGATAAAACGTTTCATATAAATCAAATAATACTTTGACTTACTCTGCATTACGCGTTTACACTTTAATTTTACTAAGTTGCGCGTGTAAATCTTTGATACTGAAAAGATTCAATTTACACATCATTATTATAAGATCTATTTTGTATTCTATATTCTGATTCCGTTATTAACGTTATTTATATCATTTTACAGATCGTTCCGATATACGCAGCCACCGAGACCGCGACGAGCACTCAAAAGCAGCTTATGAATCCGTTATTCGTGGCGATCGGCACGTTCATTAGCATGGCACTTTTGTTTATGATGGGCGTATTGTTTCTACCGAAACTGCCACAGTTTGAATTTTTCAATGAGCGAGAGCGCGCGAGAATTGCCGACAACGATGACTTTTTGCGTCTGACGACTCTTGTGATGAATGCCATAGACGGGCGTAACCGCTGGCGAAATTTCAGCACAGTTGAAAGTACGTGATGTAAAATCAAAGATATCGCATTCTTGCATTAGAGGATGAAACCCTGCGAACGTTCACGTTTGTGCGAAACGTTTGAACCGAACGTAGAAGAGAAAAATTATGTGTACGAAAAAAAAATGTGTTGCAAAAAAAACAGTGTACATATTAATTACATGGAATAAATGTATTATAAATGTTACTATATATAAAGGAACGTTTATATATAGTTAATTTTTTATGTATATCATAAATATAAAGATATATAATTCAGTATTAGATATGTTACATTCGCCCAAGGATTAATACAAGATCGACATATTAACGAAAGATAATATTTATTTAGCATAACATTATCATATACTATATACTTTTATTTAAAAAATTCGATAAATTTTTGTACATAAATATCGATATAATTATTAACCATGAGAATCGTCAACTGGAAATCAACTGGAAATATGTCGATGAGAAAATACTATTAATATAAATAGTACTATGCGAACCTATAAATGTGTTGTGCTTTTGTTTATAGTACGCATAGTAATGAAGGAAGTAGAGATAAATAATGCACTCCGGCTGCTCGGGGAATGTGGATGTGTGTATGTATGAGTGCGCGAAATATATGAAAACCACTTTCTATTTTGCGAGTGTACATACCTATCCGCTTTTCATCACATCTTTCGACTTTGTAATACGAAAGATCACTAAACATACAAATCGCAGAATCTATACAAGAAGAACGGAAAGGAAGGCACACGTTAGGACGCTATACGTTAAACGTATAATTCCGCCCTGTATCTCCGTCTAGCTACTTAATCATGAATCAGTTCGATTGGCAGTTTCCTTCTCCGCTGCTTTTCTCTTCAACATTTGCCTCTGATGCTCATACTCGAAATCCTCTTCACTCAAAGTCAACCTCTGAATCTACAAAATTAAGTTACAGAATTTTAGAATGTTTAGAATGATAAATATATGAAAAATAAAATATGTTATAATTAATAAAATTTAATGTTTGTATTAGAAAAAAAAAGATATTTACCTGATAGACTAAGGCTTCTTCTTCCATGATATGCTGGGGCGGGTTTCTTAAGACTTGGAGGGTTTCGTAGGTCGTCGGACAACGTTTAGTAAGAGAACTACGACCTAGACTACCTTTCAGTAGTACGAGGCCTACTTTGAAGATTACTTTCACGCCTTCGCAAAGGAACATATCCCATATGCGCAAGATACTTTCCCACGGCAACGTTCGCGTATAAACGCATAAAAACCATTCTGTCATGTATAAGATTGGTTCCATTTTTGTTTTTCTAAAATAATGAAATATCCAATTAATTTTATAAACTTTATACAATTTGTTATCAATCCATAACGATATTAAGAATTGATTAAAAACAATATTTTTTTTTTAAACTCATTAACATATACGTATACAGCATTAAACATGTAGCTTAGTTTATGAAAATCTATGTATGATTAAAATTATTTTCGATATATTTAAAAAAACAACTTTTTTAAAACAAACACAATATAACTACACAAAAAATTTCCATAAAACTTCATATATACTAACGAGATGTTTATACGCAACAGGGGAAACTCTTTTTAGAAGAGCAAATAAGATATCTCCGTCGCGTAGCAACGTTTCCATGCCCTGACTATAGTAACCAACGAGATATTTGTCACATATCGCGACGAGGCACCAAAACGCCTGCACTGCTGGCATATGCATCAGAAGGAACGCGGCGATGGGCGCTTGAGCTTGGCAGTAGCCAACTTTGCTGTTCAAAATGGAATACGCTTTGAGAACCTGAAACAATTCCTGTTGCCCAGGCGCGTTCTCGACGAACATTTCATGATGCGGGAACTGACGATGGAGATCCTTTTTGATATCTTCTATGTACTTGGGATCGCCAGGTCGTTTGATCAATTCCTCATACAGATTTGGATTCTCATTCATCAGGAGCTGACCGCCGCAGAGATTTAGCCATGCGCGTAGTCTCACGGAAGGTGGTATTCCTTTGCGACATCTCTCGCGGACCTTACGATAATTCGTGGTCATAAAGAGACTCCAGTTGTTCAGCATCTGTATCCATTTTCTCTCCCTTCGCAGTATCACGTCGGGTGATATGGCCTGCTTCCTGTCCCATATAGTCATATTATTAAAATAGCCTTATTACCTTTCTAAAAAGACTAAATTACTTTAAATTAGATAGTAAGATCTAATTTTCAATCTTGATTGAGGATTTTTCATAAGAATTTTTTGAAGGAGAGAGTTAATCAAAATCATTAATATGATTGTCAATTTATTAAAAGAGAAAAGTTTAAATTCTATCTTTGAATTTCAAATCCATTAAAAATAATGCTACAGTTGGCAAAAGCAATTGTTCTTAAATTTATGTAAATTTAAAAATAAAAGGATTAAGATCTTGTCAAAGATTTTGTCTTGAATACCATTTATATTCTATTTTTGCATTTAAATTACCTTTCCGGACTGTATTGTGAACCACCCAGGAATCCATGACGGTCAGGTACGGTAGAGATCACCGAACCTTGGTATATACTACTGGCCTCTGATTCGGTTTCTCCATTCAGTTCTTCCTCATCATTGCGCAACGCAGTCGAGGCAGCCATAGCATCCTTCTACTCCTCTGAAAAAAATTCTTTGTAATATAATATAATCTACACATGCACAAAATATAGAAAATAAATAATATATAAAATTGACATGTTAAATCTCAAACATATAAAAGGAAATTAAAAAAATAAAAATATACAGTTACATTTTCTTAAATATATAATTATTACAAGAAATATTATTACAAGAAAGAAGTCGCAAATTGAAAAGTCGAGTTAGAATAAAGCAGAATTCGCATATGCAATAAGTAATATTTTTCATATTATCACATTCCAAAAATAGCACGAATATTTCGCGTAGAACGTACAATGTTCCGACAGACAGCGCAAATAACACGTCCCAATAGTTCCGTTATTCGTTCATGTCATCCCATTTGTCGGAACCACGCAAAATCAACATCCAACGAAGAGAATGTAAGTATCTCGCGTTACTTCATCGGAACCGCGTACCACAGCCGCAGCCCGGACGAAGCGCGCACGCATATTACGCCTACTTCGCAATTGACAGTTCATGGTAATCAAGAGTCCGCGCAGAGAGAGGTTCCCGCGGGCCCTATTTCCTATCTCATAAACATGCAGGAAGAGTGTCGAGGTACAGTTTCGCAATTGACCGCCGCGGCAATTAATCAGGATATCTTCGCGTCGCGCTGATTACGAGAAGTGGACGGGAAGGGGGATGGGAAGGAAGCCGAAAACGCCACACGGATTTCTTCTCTCTTTCTCTCTCTCTCTCTCCCCTTCTTCTCACACAGTTCGAGGAAAGGAACACGTAATCGAAGCGAAACGACCGTCGTGGATAAAGCTACGAGCGCAGCTGAGACGAAGACACGCGCCGCGATCGTGGGCGTGCCTCACCTCACGGTTAAAACGACACGGACACTTACCGTGAATCTTTGCTGACTCTGACATTTCGAGGTACCACGATTGTATCCTCACTGTGTACATACGATACACGATACTCGCGTGCACGCACGCGCATGCGCGTCCCGCATCAGGCCCCGCCGCGTCGCGTCGCCGCGTTACGAAGAGCGCGTAAACTAGATAATTGGACAGCTGGTTTTTAAAACGCGATATCGACTATACCGACGATTGTGTGAGACGTGGTTCCCTGGAAATGCTTTCTGCGGTCGATAGCATTGTAGCATGAACTGATTTCGGTTGTCTAGATAACAACTGATAACGCATTCCCGCATCGGAGTTCGGTTATTTGTCCAAGATTTTCTTGAGCGATATGAGAGTGTAATAAAAATTATCAAGCATAGTATTTAACGTTGTACGTATATCTCAAGATTACATCTACATTTTTTACATATTTATACGATGTTTACACTTTTTCATGTAGACAACACAAACAGAGATAAGTTGGATAATATAGAACACAATACAGAAAAAAAGTATTAAGTTTTAAAATTGTTAATATATTTGATTTTAGTGTATTAATAATAAAAATATATATTATATTAAAAATTAAAAAGTTATAGTAAATGATATTTATTAAAGTTAATTTTAAAAATCTATTATTCCCACTATTTTTAACGAAATTTATGAATCTTCTATGATCCATAGATTATACAGATGACATTTTATACATGGTTTACGTAGTTTTATATAGCTCACATTGTTTACGCGTAAGATGAACTATTTATATTTTACCCATAAATGCATAACTAACATTCTGTATTATTTTAACAATATAAATAAAAAAATTATCGATTCTTTTTCAATATTTAAGTATAGGAAAAAATTAGATCAGAGACTAATTAATAAATAGAAATGTTGTTCTAAATGATTCTGCTGATTGAGTTAATCGGAGCTTAACTAATTTATCGGCGATTGTCAATTCCTTCTCTACATCGATAGATGTCGCGACAACACTTGTTTTTTTTTCTTGTTTTTGATAAGCTTACCGACCACTCCGTATGCGCGCGTACGGTGCATGCGTATGCGTGAATGTATGTGTGTCGTGCGTGGCTCATAAGGGCGGCGGCATAGGATGTATGTATGCGGTATGTAGTCAATTACGGGGAGCGCACAACGCGTATGTATATCTCAAATATATCGCGGTATTCCAACGCCATGTTGGCTTAGCCCAGCGATTGACGTCAGCGGGCGCGTTCAACAATAGTGTGCAATCGTGCGAATAACAAAAGATAAACGGAGACAGTCGAGTTTCGAACGCGCAAGTTTGAAAGAGAGAGAAAGAGACAGAGTGAGAGAAGAGGCGTGCTTCATTCGCGACGGTGCAGCACGGCAAGTGCAGTCATCGACGGACGTAGAACGTGGTGTGTGGGTTCGGCTCGGCTCAGTTCGGCTTGTCTCGTCTCGGCTCCGGATTCTCCCGCATCCGTTATGACGATCCAGCAGCGCTAGGCGCTCCGCGTCTTCTTTGGCACGTCGTGCTCTCTCTTCTCCGGTGTTGCGAGAAGCAGAGAGAAAGAGAGAGAGAGAGAGAACGAGAGAAGAGCAGTAGCAGAGTGATAGGGTGGGGAAGAGACAGAGAGAGAGAGAGAGAGAGAGAGAGGAAAAGGAGATTTAGCAACAATTCGAAGGAAAAAAGAGAATTAAGAACGGAAAGTGTTTAAAACGACGGAATTGCTCGTACTGTGTCCTCAGTGTGATCGGCGAGCTCCAGCGAGCGAGGAAGAAAGAAAGAAAGAAAGAGAAAGAGAAAAAGATAACGTGAGGGAGCGCGAGTGGCGTATCAAGATGGCGCATAATTTGGCACCGAGCGTCAACTGCTCGCTCGACGACATTGACCTGAACGCTCTGAAGGTACGTACAGATGTGAGAATTATTTGTGTCGCGTTCTCTTCATCCCTCTTTTCCGCTTTTTCATCGCGCGCGGCCGAAACTCGCGGCATCGACCGCGCATCGTCGTCGTCGTCGTTGTCGTCGTCGTTGTCGTTGTCGTTGTCATCGTCATCGTCTCGGCGACTGTTTCCCGGACCCGCCTGATGTCACGCGCGTGTCTCGTTGTACCGTTGGTGATTAACCTCGCGGGAATCGACGAGAAGGAGAAGGAGGCGATAGTAACGTTCGCTCCTCTCCTCTCTCCCTTCCTCTCGCTCGTCGCTCGCTTCGTCGCGCATTTCCGAGACGCGGAAAAGTCGGAAAAGTGCGAGTCGGAGTTCGCGCACGCATCATTGACAGTCGATGTTGCACCGGGCGCCGTGTCTCGCAAATAATGTTTCTTTTGTGAGAAGAAGAGAGTCACCGCGAGAGGAGTCGCCTCTCGCCAATCTCGTTCGATTCATCTCGAAACCGCGATGCGCATCCAAAACACGTTCGCCGATCGTGTTTCCATTCTGGCAACATCGTTGACAATCCGACGGACGTCACGCAAGACTGGACCTCGCCGAGCATGGATTCTCTCCCCTCTCCCTCTTCGTTCCTCCGTTTCATCGTACTAAAAAAAAAAAAAAATCAAGAGGAGGAATCGATCTGAAGATGTTCACTGTTATTTATTTAAAATCCCGGGAGGAAGGTCAAGATAAAAAAAAAATACGGAGCTCGATATGCGAGAGAAAGAAAAGTCAGATATCCGTATTAAAAATGCATCCATACTAAAAATACGCATCAATTGCAGTTTACATGTAAACACTGAAAAATACCTTCGTCTACCGCTCGCGATCGTTGCGCTCTGTTTCCTGTGTTTTTCTACATCTGCGATCTAACGTCACAGTCAGCTTTTAAGATGGCTGACCGCCGTGTTTTGCTCTCGCATTTTATTCGCCAAGCGACCCATTGCCTTTTTTCCCGATCGTCTTGGATTGTTTTTTGTCACAGGGGAGATCTGTATCTAGGGGTGACTATTATTCGTGACAAATCAAATTCTTGGGACAAAAAAAACAGTGGCTCACACGAGGGTATATTTGTTTTTCGTCTGTTTTTGCTAAACTCTGTCTTCTTTTATCTATTCTTTTTTTTTTTTCAACATCTTGCACATTAATTTCTTTCAAATATAGAAAGTATAACACGGAGAACGATTATAAAAAGAAAACGAATAGAATTGTAAGCTCGCTTCAACGTTTTCTATTTATATTTAATATCGATCGATAAGTCTCTCGTTCGAAAATACATCCTCTGATCTTTGCCGTATATTTTTTTTTGTGAGCTATCTCTTTTTCTTATCGTTTCCAATTTTGTATAATTTTATTCTTCGCCCTCCAACGAGTTCAGAATTAAAATTTTGAATCGCTTTCTCGCGGACGATAATCAGAGAAATTAACATAGGCAATTCACCGGAGCGATGTTACTCTCCTTTCGTGATGAAAAGGATCATTTTTCGTCTCGACGATTAATTGATCGTTTGTGTTTCAGGAGCCCGCTGGAATCTTCGAGCTGATAGAAGTGGTCGGCAATGGGACGTATGGCCAAGTCTACAAAGTGAGTATTTTATTGTGATTTACATAACGTTTCCCGCGACATCGATTCCAAATGGCCGCGTGATATTTCCGGCCTCTTGTATATTTGATTCTACAGTGCAGAATTATGTATTTCATTTATTCTCTACTCTATCGCAGCTGTTTGGCTGGCTACGCCTGTACGCGATTCGTCGTCAATTATCGATTTCACACTGGCGTGACGACCTTTTCTGTGGTATTTTAAATTAACGAGTAGGCGTGAAAACGACGGAAAAGAAAGAAAATGCTGATAATATCCAACTGCGAAAAGGGATACTGCGTATCTCCGTAGATATCCGACATTTCTTGATGTAGAAATTGAAATTCACCGAAGCGATTTGATTCTTTCTCCGATAACTACGCTTCGCTCGTTTCACAATGATCATGATGATGTCGAGAGTGATTAATTGCCTTCGGTAATCTTTTCCTAAAATCTCAGAGTTATCGAAGAAAACAAGAGCAGAGTTGATAAAGCTGTGCCGGTTAGTAGTTACACAATAGTTTCTTATAATATTCTATCATCAAGATAGAATCGAGTGTTTTATAAGATACAATGCTTTTTATCGTTGCCGCCTCAGTAGGTGTTTGTATACACGAAAAAAAATTAATCTTAAATCAAAACTATATGTTTTCATTTATATAAGCGAGAATATTGTAATTTTCATATAGAACATTTTTAGCCTTGAGTTGCACAAAAGTAAGGCTCTGCGTACAGTGGAAATTAGAAATAGGAATAAATATTAAATTTTTGTAATAAAAATTAGAAACTAAAAATTGGAATTAAATCTAACGCGCGAAGTATAGGATATGACCATATTTTATATTTATTTATCTACTTGCATCGAACTACAAATTCAATCAAATCAAGATTCAACAAATCAATCAACTCAAATTTTCAAAAAGATTACAATATTTTTATCTATATACGAGAATATTTGTTGATTTAAGACTAATTTTTTTTCTAACAATAAAGAATCATATATTCCTCTATATAGGTCGCGTCTAATTTTCATGTGTGCCTCAGTTATCGTGCTTCCCGTTAGTAATCCGTAATTCTTATCTGCCGTGCTTACGCATTCCCAACTACATACCCGACGTCTACGTTTCCCGTCCAGGACCGTGTGTTATCGCCGAGCCTTCGTATTTGCGTCTCCCGTTTCCGAAAGAAATCTAAACCCGCGCTTGCGTTACGCACGTGGGAAACTTTCGTGTTTGAGGCGATACGCGACGGCGGCGACGTGGCGTTGCATTGCATTGCATTGCATTGCATTGCATTGCATTGCATTGCGTTGCATTCCCGCGATATGTATGTATATCCGGTGCTCTCGTCTCGTTTCTCGTCTCTGCGAACGCGGCGAGGGGTCCTCGTCGCCGTCGCTGTCGAGAGCGCGTTTCTCTCGTAGCTGCGTAAAAACAAAAGGCAAGAAGAAGATAATGATTTTCCCTCTGCATCGACAGACGGGGATCGAATTGGGGTGAGCTCAGAGGCGGCGTGAGTCACGTGGCTGGAATGCCTATAGGAAATAAAGAAATCGCCTTTCTCCGTTTTAATGCGAGTTGTTCCTGCACTTGTCGGTTCCAGCGCGAGTCGCACCATATGGGAATACCGAGGCGACTCCGATGATGCTGCTCCTGATGACGCCTCGCGCCTCCGCGGCAGATATCATCGCAAATTTCGCTACCTCTTGTTCCGTTCGCAGCGAGATAAGAAAGACCACGGCGAGAACGATAAGAGATATCCCCGAGAATTATGGTGTTGTATCGCGCAGAACAGAAAGATGCATTCTTCTTCCCGTCGGAATGTGGAAAAATAAACGTACGGTGGTTTAGTCGCGCGCGAGACAGTAAGGAGAAAGGGATGGGAAGGGGGGGGGAAGTCTCGTTCCTCACCTGTAACCGACGGAGACAGTGATTCACTTTAAAAAAATTCTCTCTTGCCGAGGTTTGTCCTTGGGAGTGTATCTCGATGTGAAAAATGGTCGTACGAGAAAGAGAGGTCGGGAGTCCCACGACCGGAAGGACGCGAGGCTCGTATAACGCGGCGTCATCAACGTGACTAGAAAGGAACGAGCTCCTACTTCAGCGGAATTGACAGAGGTTGTAACGAGAGATTGTCGCGATAACTAAATTTGAGAGAACCTGCTGCTGGAAGATATACGTAGAACACGTTACGCGAATGGACCTGACTACAAGGATGGTTTTGCCGAAATTAAAAATTTAACCAAATGTAGACTTAAAAATTCTATTCTATAATCTGTCAAGATTATTTGAGCATGATATTGTAAAAATTTTTATATCCTAGTGATCAATTTGAACGTCTATAAATATTTTTGGTGGTCCAACAATATTATTTCCAGATTTATATCCGGTCCAGTTTTTTAGATACTTCGGTAAAAGCGTTCTTTCCCTGTGTGAAATTTGGATAGATAGACAAAAGCCACCTGTCGCGTCACGGACGCGACAGGTCTGTATATTTATGCGTGTGAATAGTAAAATAAAAATAAAATCTCGAGTAGAACGAATTCTCGCGAATAAACGCAGTCTCACAACACGATTGCATTTCGGAGTCGCGCCAGGAAATGTCGAGTCGTTGAGTCATTCGCGTCGATGTCGACCGGAGAGCGACGAGCCTCCATAGAGACTCTCTTTCTCTCTCTCTCTCACACACACACACACACACACACACATGCCGTTAATTAATTTGAATAAGCGACGAGCGGGAAACAATTTCTATTCCATTGTCTGGATTAGGGGCAGACGGTGAGGGAGATACTACCGAGAGGTACACGCACGTGAGCTCTCCCTCCCGCGAGCGATATTAAAATGAAAGTTGTTTCCGTGTGTGGGGCACGATTTTAATTTTCACGTTGTCCGCGCCCGAACGACGTGCGGCGCGGCGGTCGCATGTTTAACGCGCTCGTTCGCGCCTCGCGTCGTAACGATCGGCCCACTTACTCATGAATGAATCGCAGCAGGAGAGATTCCCGTGCACCACGAGGCCGCTTTACGCGTTCCGGACGACCGCGGAAAAGACTCGCACGCGCGAGATTCTCTCGCCGAGGAAGACCGCGTTTCTATCGCGCGAGCGCGAAACAACGCGACGGCTCTTCTCCACCTTGTGTGTACGTGGCACACTCGTGCTCTTTAAACGCTTTACTTTCGTGCTACGCGGAGTGGAGGACGGAGGACGAAGGGTGAGCGGAGGAAGAGGACGATGACCCGCTGCCGATGACGGCACAGAAGATCAGCCGGACACGCACGCGTGTGCGTGAAAACTTCGAGCGCCACACGCCCGACACGCGCGTGCGTGCGTGCGTGCGTGCGTGCGTGCGTGCGTGCGTGCGTGCGTGCGTGCGTGCGTGCGTGCGTGCGTGCGTGCGTGCGTGCGTGCGTGTACGTGCGCGCTATCTCGCCGAATCGTATTGTGTTACCGTTTATCAGAGTTGACGACGATAAAGCTCGTGATTATTTAAAGAGAGTTCGATCCGATTGATCTTTTTCCGCCGCACCACCGCATTGACGAATCTTCGAACAATAAAAATAGAATACGTAAAATAGGATATATCGAATCATTTACGGCGTAAGAAAAAGGGCGATTTTTGTTGGATTAAAGAATTTAAATCTAAATACAGATCTGAAAATAATCTTGTTGGGCTATCCAAACATTTATACAGGACGCTGAAACAAATAATGAGAGTATTACAAAAATATTTTTGTATTCTAGCAATCACTTTGAATGTCCTATGTGTTTATTTATTTGTGCTCAACAAAATTATTTTCATCAGATCTGTATCTGATCGAGGCTTCGGTAACTTATTTTTTAATAGTAGCAACAGATGAAGTTTGTTGAGTTGGAATCGACACTTTTAAATGAGTCAACGTCCTTTCGCCAATGAGAGAAAATTGTTGCAACGCAAAATGTGCAAGAAAGAAAAATGTGCAAAAATACGCAGCGAAATTTATTGGGAAAGAGCGCAAGCGATATAAATAACGTGACTAAAATCGTACAAGTCTTCAAAGAATGAATCTGTCACGCTTTGTGCGATAACGCTCTTCAGAGAAGAGATTAAACTTTCTTGAATTCGTCGATGACACGTAAGAGTTAATTCTAAGATTTCAATGCGAATAGAATAATGTATCGATTTATGTCAAGATAAAAAATGAAAATGTATTCGAGAACCGTTAATTTTAATTCATTTAATGTAGCTTGATCGTTATAACTTATTATCGACTTAATCAAAGAATCTCTCGACGATTCAAGATTCACTTCTTGCCACGTGGATCGCTCGGTTGAGCGCTTTTTATAATTCATACATCATTTCCGGACGATCGATTCGCGCCATTTGCCGAAGAGACTCCAACTTTCGATTTTCCTCACGAATCGCAGCTTTTGTTCTCTGACGCGGTGATAAAATTGAAGGCAAACGTCATTTTCTCTTTATCGATAACACCATCTCAGATAGAATCGCATTTTTTTCTGTAACGTCGCATTCTTTCGTAGACTGCCGGCTGTGAGCTCGTAATGCTTTTCGAGCCATCGTGTACGTAAATATAGGCCCTGATATTTGATATTTGCATTACGCTTACATTAGCGTCGCACGCCTAAGCCGTCACGTTCTGCGTCGGAAACTCTCGGTTCCACACGAGTCAAGTGACGTTCGCACGTAGGTGGAGGATTCCAGAGGCAGAGAGAGAGAGAGAGAGAGAGAGAGAGAGAGAGAGAGAGAGCGAGAGCGCGGGGGACGAAGGAAGGAAGGAAACGCGAGACTGCAGCCGATTCTGTTTGAGAGGACGGCCCATAGATACGATGTCTGCCGCGTGCACACGCGGCTTTGTAAGTTGGAAAAAAAAAAACTGAACTTGCATATAAAGCATGCGGTGACGCTTTTTCCGCCGCGTACACCGCCCCTGGGTCCGTCTATCTCTCGGCGACTGAGGAAAATGAGAGATGCTTCCGTTTTTTTTTTTTTCTTTTTTTCCCCCCTTTTTAACGAGAGAGGATCCCAGAATGCCCAGTGTTCCGTTTCGTCGACGCTGCGGTCGATGGGCGATTCGCATAATTTTCTTTTAATAATCTGTTTAATATCTGGCCACTCTATGATGAAAGTCAGATGGTCAGATTTTACCGAAAGGGTAAACGACGAGAGTGGGCGGCGGCGAACTCCTCTTACGTAAGGGAGGGATGTGCATCGTAAAACGATAATTCCAAAGCCGGCCTCGAGAGATAGCGTTAGATTTTGGCATCGCGCTACTCCGCCGTTATCTTGATGCTTCGGATGTTTATGCGTTTAACGGGGCGATATAATGACAATGCGCTTTTCTGCTCCGCAGGGTCGGCACACCAAGACCGGTCAGCTGGCGGCCATCAAGGTCATGGACGTCACGGAGGCAAGTATTCGGTTGCAGTGGCGATGTTGTGGTGGCTTAATTACCTCCTTACTCTCTGGGAGTTTAATACGGATGCTCCTGGTTTTACCTCGCTACCGAGGCACAAATCGCGGTCGTGGTGATCCTCTCAGAAGTACGAAGAGTCCCCCGTGAGAGAATGAAATGTACGATACAGGACTTCATGTAAAGTCTACGGCCATAGGGAAAAAGATGACTCCCCCTAGAAATCTGAAGGGGAAAAAAAAAAAACAGACGTAACGCCGGCACATTTCACGACCGCAGATAGATAAGTTTTTATCAGTGAGAGACGTGAATGTGCGACATATAGAGCGATTCTAGATCCATTGCGCGTATCATCAATGCCGATGGAAGACAAAGATCATTTCTACGAACGTGCACGGGTGATACGGTTTCATACTCGACAGCTTCTAGAATCTAGAATGAGTAATGCTAGAGAAGACGTGCGTTTTCATAATGAACGAAGCTTCTGCCAATTTATTGATCGATCGCAAAAGTTTAAGGACTCAGGCATAATAATAAAAAGAATAAGGAATTCAATGTAGAAAAATAGGAGTAAGAAATTAAATTTTTTGACTTATAGGAAGTCGTGTTTCGATTTGAAGTATTCTTTTATTCGTCAAAAATAATTTTCTGTTCTTAAGTCTTTGTTCCTTATATTTAATTCCTTATTCTTTATTGCTGTTTATCGTGTCATTTGTATCTGAGGCCTAATTCGACTTTAAATCGATGTCGCTTTCATTCAATCGCGCAGAAATTGAATATTTTTTTCATATTACGGAAGATGCACGTGTGCGTAATAAGAGCTTTTTCTTTGTACCATCATCGTTACATTTAGCTTATGAAGAGACGATTTTTACAGTTATACAGGTATGAATCATCTCATGATACTTATCTAGTGGAATATTCCCGGTAAACACATTCTCTTCACGTTCAGATCTTTATTTATATCTATTGCGAGAATCGTGACATTAATATTACCGTTACGCTGCACTTTTTAATTTTTCTCACGTATTTCGATTTTTCTCACGTAGATCGACCAAATCATGGAAGACGCGTCGAAATTCAGCATTACGATTATGATTGTGCATATTTTTCTCTCTGTTTTTATATTTCCGTCTCTCTTTCTCCTTTCTGTATCTTTCCTTGCGAATGCTCTCTTTCCGTCTCATGTAACGCGAGTAAAGTCTCGACTCTACTTACCTACTTAACGTACGTCAGACTACTTTTCTAGACAACTAAAAGGAATTTTCACATTTTATCCGTAATGAAATGTTTAATCCGTTTGTCCTAGCGACATTGTATTTATAGAGCTTATTTTCTCACGATTACCGCGCAAGCAGCCTGAGTTTATGCCTTTTTAATAATCGCATTAATATTTAATAACCCGTAAAGCAGCTAATTAGAGACACAACTTTCTGACAATGACCCACTTGCAGAACTTTTATATGCGAAGTTCAATTTTTAATATCATAATCGCGCGTAAACACTCTTGTACAAATTTCAAGTAAACGATATGTGAAACAAGATGTATTTTATGTAAATAATACTATATAATATTTTATGTATATAATGCGATTATATATTTTGTAATGAGTGGAAAGTGCAATACGAAATAAGGAAGGAACATTTGATTGATTGCCTTCTTTAATAAGCTATTCGTCTCGTTACAGGATGAGGAGGAAGAAATCAAGTTGGAAATAAATGTACTCAAACGGGTGAGTGTGTATAAATATCGTGAAACGCATTGGGTCGTTAGTGGAACAGATTAATGCAGATAAATTCTTTTTTTATCGTCTTGCAGTATTCGAATCATAGGAATATAGCTACGTATTACGGTGCCTTCGTAAAGAAGTCATCACCCGGCAAAGACGATCAATTATGGCTGGTCATGGAATACTGTGGAGCTGGCTCTGTCACGGATCTCGTCAAGTCGACTAAGGGCCAGAGCTTGAAGGAGGAGTGGATAGCCTATATATCGCGAGAAATACTGAGGGGACTTAGTTATCTTCACAGCAATAAAGTTATCCACAGGGATATTAAGGGGCAAAATGTTTTGTTGACTGATAACGCGGAAGTCAAACTCGGTAAGATCAATTTAGACATTAATTATGTCTATAGTGTCATCAAAAGTCTGAAATAAAATTGAAATAAAATGTTACACAGTTCTGGAGTAATTTTTATCATTTGAGATGAATTATTGTTATACTTTTTCCGTTTAGAAAAAATTGATGACTTCGAAAAAATATTAAAATATTAAAAATATTATTAAAAATTAGTAACTTTACTTGAAATGAAACTTTTTAAGAGAAGACTAATGCAAATCATTTGTATCAATTTAATACTATATATTATTTTAACACATTTTATTTTTATTAATTAATTATTTTGTGATATTTCAGTCGATTTTGGTGTTAGCGCACAATTGGACAGGACGATAGGTAGAAGAAATACATTTATTGGCACACCTTACTGGATGGCTCCAGAAGTTATTGCATGCGACGAGAATCCAGACGCCACTTACGACAATAGAAGCGACCTTTGGTCACTCGGAATTACCGCTCTAGAAATGGCTGAATCACAACCTCCGCTCTGCGATCTGCATCCCATGAGAGTGAGTTTTCCCCAATAATTTTACGAGTAATATGTACTTTTCGTAGCGAAGTAGTTTTTGTTGCATGTAAAATTATATATCGTTACATTGTTTTGTCGTTGAACAGGCCTTGTTTTTGATTCCTCGTAATCCACCGCCACGACTTAAATCGAAAAAATGGGCCAAAAAGTTTCACGGATTTATCGAAACGGTACTGGTAAAGGATTATCATCAAAGACCATACACGGAACAGCTTCTTAAACATCCGTTTATACGGGACCAACCTACAGAAAGACAAGTCAGAATACAGCTTAAAGATCACATTGATCGTTGTAAAAAGCGCAAACAAGAGAAAGGTGCGAAAATAGCGATGTAAATAATGAATGTTTCTTTTTAGAAACTTTGGATTGTCGTCACACATTTGTTGTTCATTACAGAAAGAGACGACTATCGATATAGCGGAAGCGAAAATGAAGAGGATGAACCAGCACTGGCAGGCGAGCCGTCGTCTATAGTTCAAGCACCTGGAGGAGATACATTGCGTCGTAATTTCCAACAGATTCAAGAAGGTAGAACTTTGACGCAGGATGTGCCTCCACAAGCGCCCGCCGCTAAAGAGAAACCAGGAAATAGATCTCAAAGAGAGGTGCCGGAACCTGGACCTCCTGCGAGACCCGCTATACCGCACAGACTTATAGGTACGTTTTAATGACTTACAAAGAATTTGTATTATATCCAATAATTTTTTTTTGCACTATTAATATATTATTAATTGCAAATAGTGGTACCCGATCCGCAACCACCGTCTCGTCCATTACCTCCGACACCTAGAGACGATCCTCGACAACCGCACAAAGTATCCACACCACCTTCTAATCATCAAACACCTGCTGGTGGAGGGGGAGGATCTGGCGGACAACCTGCGCCTCAAAGGAACAGTGTCTTTAAACCTATGGTAAGTTTTTGTGAATAGACACGCATTTTAGAATCCTTCCAATCTCTTTTAATGATCCAAATCAAGAACTAATCCTCCTTCCTTCTATGACACTTTGTTAATACAGACAATTATAAATAGACATAAACGAAAAGTATAGATGATCAGATCTGTAGTAAGGCGTACGCTATCGTTCCCTTTTCTTTGCAGTTTTGCCTTAAACTTTGTATTTATCGATCCAAGTATATATTCTTTTTATGACGCATAGTTCATTTTGTATGTTTTTCTCTTTCTCCATATACTTGCGATATATTATATATTTTTATCATAACCATTGCACGCGTTTTTTACATCGCTATTGCGTCATTGGCGTACACGCTGATGCGTTCTACTACGTATACACACACGTTCTACTACATATACACAGAGGCTCTTAGCACTCGAACTTGGAATGTATTTGGTTTTTATTTCTTTTCTATGTTCATACCTACCGTAGCTGCCGCCGAAGAAGCCAGAGGTAAGATGACACGCACACTTTATCTCTTTCTCTTTCTCTTACATGTATATTGACAAATCGCTTTTCTGCTAACGCTTGCGTAATGCGAATGATTTACTAATGACGATCAGCGCAAAAATTATGTAGGTTTTTGCTATGATTTATTCACGAGGACACGTTCCTTTGATCATCCTTTTAATGATTCTATGCAGTAATAATTGCATATAAGAATACAGTAATAATTTTCTTTTCAATAACTTTGTAATTTCTCTTGAAACGAAATTATAACATATTATCTGTCAATATAAAGTTGAAAAATTTTATCTAACTTTAATTCTCTACAGATATAAATTTTTTTATATAAATTTATTCATATTTATATTAAATATTCACGGAATATAAATCGATAGAAAATGTGTTCCGAAAAGCACTGATTGATTATTAAATTTATTCGTTTTACAGTAACAAATACATCCTCTTAATGTTCCTTCGCTTGAGCATTTGCCTTGTTCTATATTGTGCTTTTATTCTGTCTAAGTGGATCTGCTAGATTGTACATATTTCTAGATCTACATACACAACACGTTTGTTGGTGTTTCGAGATATATCGTTCTTCCTATAATCGGATTATTGAAATATAATATTTGTGATGATTTATTAAAAGTAATGTGTTTGTTCAATATTTACAGCAATTGACATACAGAATGGTCTACCAGAAATAAAATCTGAATAATCCTTTTAAATTTGAATGATGAGAAACATGTTATAATTGTAATTTGTTTAATTTGCCCCAAAAAATATATGTGAATAGAAATAGAATATGATATAGAAAACAGCTTTTTAATATCACTTTTATTTTCAAAAGTAAATTTTTTTTAATGGAGGAATATATTTCCACATTTTTCCACTATTAAATTTCCACTATTAAAATGTATATCTCTCGTCTTTTGGATTGCAAATGATAGTTAATTGTGCTATATAAAAATTAAACTGTTAATTCAACGTCACATTTAACTTCAATCTCTATTAACTGGTCTAATATGTCTGATTTAAAATTTCGTTAAACGTGTTGCGTTTGAGTTGGCATATTAGCATTATAAAGGGTGATTCTGAAATAGGAAATATATATATTGGAAATATAATTTAAGTGAAAAATAAACACAATAAAAAGTCAGTATAAGCATGAATCCAGAAACATATTTCTTTTTAAATTATAGAGTTGTTTTTTTTTCGATAAATTTTTTATGAAAACATTAAATTGAAATATAAATTGATTTTATAAGAATTTAAATGTTGATACATGATATAATGATCAAACATATTATCGATCTGTTTATGTTTGAGAATTAAAATAATATTTATTAAAGAGATAAATTTCTTTTTATAACTTTAGCAATTTATAAGGAGGATCAAAAAATAAAGAATATTACATTCGTATTGATTTGTCACGGATTTTACAGAATCTTTTCGCAATATAAAAAAATAAAATATATTTATATTTGGGTGGAGAGCACTCTTTGGATCGTGTTTACATGACCGGTTTTCTTAAAATAAATAGAATGTATTGTATGTATTAATGTATATTTTTAAAATTTGGCCAAGAATATTTCGGAATCAATCTAATTAAATTTTATTTGGGCAACGGCAGCTTAAGCGCATTATGCTCTCCTTGATGTTTCTCCTCGCCTTTCTGCCTTAATTTGGCTGCCTTGTTGGCTATTCAATGGTGGCTTCTAGCAAAAGATTCTCAAAGGTCTCGGAACAGTGACTAACGGGGTTGTGCGTGTATGCGTGTGGGTGGTAGGACATGGAGATACTGGCTGCTCAACTCATCGAGCTTGGTGTGTCACAGGGCCCCGAGGCCCCGCCAAGGCCAAACAGGCAACATAAGGGTCCTGCAGCTTCGTCTACATCGAATTCGGTGCAGCCCGCAGGTGGTAATGATCAGAACAACAAACAGATGCCGCAATCCTCCAGTATTCTCGATCAAGTAAGCGATTGGAACCGCGTGCGACCACGATTGTTATTTCAGCAGCAAAATTCACTTATGCCTGCATCCCTGTTCTCTCGTTGTTACATTATCACTTTTCGTTTTCTTTGTCTTATTGCTATAAGTCACATAAACATCGCCTTACATCTAGTTCGAGGTTAAAAAAAAGAAAAAGAAAGAAAGAAAGTACACAATACAGAAATCAATGTCGCACGGACGAGTGTGAAAGTGACGCTAAAGATGATATATCATCTTGTCATTCTAGGCACTATCGATTGAGAGTGACAGTGATGACGATCTCGAGGATGCTGGTGGGAACAATTTGAGAAATGACGGTACTTTATTAGCCAGCGACCCGCCCAAACCGCTGTAAGTAAACAACTTTTTCGCTTTATAAAATAACACATTTCAACATCACAAATCCTTTCTTTGGGAATGTTTTAAATAGCGCTCGTTATATTAAGGTTCCATTATTGTCATCCGTTACCATAAAACCTTACGTGTTGTTATTAATTATTATTAACGCATATATATATATATATATATATATATGTTGATTCAGCGATACACTGGTGTTTTGCATCTGCAATTTTAACTTTTCAGAAGATTTCTCTGCATAAAATAATATTTCTGAAAATAAAATTCTGATAAAATCCAAATTCTTTTATCAAGATTTATGCAGATAGACAAAACTGAAACTTTTTTTAGATTAAAAAAAAAATAGTTGCAATACATTTTGTTTGTATCGTCGAATTATTTCCAATGAAACCAGTCATAATAATACATAACCTTATGCCATTTGTTTAATGCTTTTAACGATATAATTAATAGAATAAGACGCGGCTGCAGTTGTATTAATATTACTAATGTCATTTCGTTTCATCTTCCGTCATGCCTATCCCACGCTTCGACATTTCGCGTCATATGGTCGTCTTGGTCGCCTCGCCTCGCCTCGCTCCGCCTCGCCTCGCCTCTCAACACCGGCGACGCGTTACGTGTGCTTCATCTGCCATCACGTCGTTCCTGCAATCTCTATTTTCATCGCTGCAGTCCCGAATTTTCTCCTTTCAGACCGTCATCGGACTCATCATCGTCGTCTTCGCATAATGCTCAAAACTCCCATCATGAGGACAAGCCGAAAGGTACAAAGGCCACTTTCCAAGGAGTATTATTAATGACACTACGCGCTACAATTTAACATCCTGCCTTTATCTGATCTTTATAGGAGGGGCACCGAATCGTCCACTCCCACCAACCCCCGATGAGGAAGAATCGGGAGATCGTACGCTAGTCATGAAACGAGTGAGTACCTCTGTTCCCAAGATTGCGATGCAAGCTAAAATACACATTCGTAGACCTCTTCTCTTCCATTCGGATATATTTCGTTTCGGTATAACTTGAAATTTCCGTATACCGTTGGTATGTAAAGACTTTGTGTAATCACGTTTTAGTAGTTCGCGTAAAGCAATCGACAAGTTTTCTTCCCTATCGAACTTACTTAGACGTCTCGCAAACATCAATATATCAAAACTTGGACTTGTATTATACATCCTGAATCAGATCTGAGGATAGACGAAGGGAAGGAAATGCAAGCGATTGCATATTTGTTTTTCCTTTTTTTTACCTTTTTTTTGTAAATATGTATGTACGTAACTGATAATCGGGACTAATTCAGTGACATTTGTCCGCTACCCTCATTGTTTCGCTCTACGTCAGGATTGGACTTTGTATATTCCAAGCGAGCACCATGGCGCACTGCCTTGTGTCTGTACTTTTGTCGCTGTCGTACGATACACTATGCACAATCATATACGAACGACAAACATGCTACAGATAGACTACATTGCTGCGGTGGTGAAGCCACAATGGACTATATCGCGTCATTACATTCCCTTTTTCCAATTTTATAATTCTAGATTTGCTATTGAAATTTTTATTACTTCCAGTTTTGCCACAGATTCATTATCGCTGCAAAGATAGTCGTTTCTTATTACATTATACCATTACATCACACCACTATTACTGCCACACCACTATCACCACCACCACTATTACCGTCATCATCACCGACAATCATCACGTTATTATCGCACGCATTTCTTTTTCTTGTTTTTTTTCTGTCACCGTACCATTATCTTCGCCATCGTACGCGCACTCTAGAAACTTAGTCAGATGTCAGACGATCGTGCAACGGCTAGCGGCAACCGGCGTTCAGAAATAGATGAGCAGCTCCTCCTGAAGGAGTGGGATTTCACCCGCTTCTTTCAGGGTTTTAACGAAAAGTTGGATAAAATGAAACAGGAGCATCAGCAAGAAGCGGCCGGTCAGACGAGCAAGTCCGGATCCAACGAGGATCGCTCCTCTTCATCTAGCGAAAGAACGCTCAAGAGACAGGAGCAGTTAGCCCGAAGGAAACACGAGCAGCAGCAGCAACAGCAGCAGCAGCACCATCATCATCAAAAGCAACAGCAATTGAAGCCGATTCACAGGCGGCAAGAGAGCGACTCGAAACTGGGAAATGCATCGAGCGCTTTTGCGCGTGCCTTTCGCCGCGAGAATTCGGACTTCTTTCCGTCCGCGCGACACTCGGCGTACCTGCAGAAGTCATCGGACTCCTCGAGATCTAGTATATTCGCCAGTGGCAATCGTCGCGGAAGCGAGATAAGTGTCGCCGGTATTGTTGGTAAGAAGGGCGGCGCCCTCAGCTCCGGGGAACCGGTCTTAACGGATTTCTCATTGTGCCGCGATGGGCCTCAGAGGCCCAGGAGAGAAAAGACCGAGAGCGAAATTGTTTTCGGTAGTAGGCACGAAGCGAGGAGATACGATTTCGGACGCGATAAAGACGAGAACGCAAGAAGACGCAGTTGTAGACCCTCGGATGCTACGGCGTCTGCCGTAGTCGACGATGCGGGAACGATTAAGTCCACGGCCAGTACAACGGCCAGCGAGTACAGCCCCATTGTCACCCAGGTCAGTCCCTTAAGCGAGTCAGTCCTGCGAGTCGCCAGTCCGAGTCGCGAGAAACCTTCGCGAGTCCTGCCTGTGTGCTTGCCTGAAAGAGACCTTTCTTACTACCTTATATTGACATTTTTTGCCTGTTATCTTCCCCGATCCCTCGTCCATTCCTAGAACGTATCTTCGAAGTGTCCATCGAGTTATTCATTTATTACACATATATATACATACACACTGTTCATCGTCAATTGCTAATTCATTTGTAAATATATATCATGAATATTTCATTAATTGTAAACCAAACTATTCGATACTCGTGGACACTTCGACTCTTCACGTTTCCTCTCGAGACAATCGTGACTGATTTTTCGACATCCAGCGGCGTAATGATCACATAGAAAGCTAGTCAGCTACGCTCGACTTTTAGGCGCATTTTCTTTCCCTGTGTCATTATTCATTTTCACGATTTATCAGAAAAGTAGCAGCGATACTTATTATTAATTACTAGTGCTATCAGTATCATATTAGCAGTATTAATATCATTTCTCATATGATCTTTGATTATAGTCTCCATTACTTTTATTTAAAAGCGACATCGGATCTTTGAAGTACAGCGTTAAATATCGTTAATACGTCGTAACCTCTATCACTAATTCCGCTAGCATTATCACTACCATTCCTATTATATTTATTTCTATCAGTTCTATCATTACTATCACTATTACTACTAGTACTTAGTACCACTAATACTAATTCCTACTTATTACTTAAGGATTTACATGGGGGATTCTCGCTGGGAGATGCTGCTGAGATATCTTATTCACTCTTCCCTTCACTCTTCATCAACAAGTGGCTTTTTGCAAATGTATTTGCTGAGTAGCGTTAAACGCGCGTTGTTTTGGCGGTTCACCTGGCGGCCTTACATTAATTGCCCTTACGTGACATTTCTATCTTATAAACTTTCGACGCTTTGTTTCAAGTATTTCGTTTGATGGGCAGTTGTGGGATTTCGCGTGAAGCCACTAATGGCCAACACGAAAGAGATGTCGAATTATTAATTGCTACTCGGTAATTCAGACTCCTCTATTTTCCATTCATCGCTGTGTCCTTGTCCTCAACAAACGTGCCTCGTCCTCTACTGTCTGAGTGATGTGTACTATGCGGAAAAAACGCCAGACACCACTTCTCTACGGCGACGAAAATACGAAATCTGGGACTGAACTGAGGATTAACCGCATGGAAATTTCTTCGGGATACTTGACAACGTCGTTACCACCGGCGCAACGACACGTCGCGGGATTTGGCAAAAAATATAAAAAAAAAAAAAAAAAACCTAGCTGAAAATTCGTGATGACACGTCGTAAAAGACGTGTTTCTCCGATTACGTTAACGTTCCAACGTGATCTCTCGTCACGGATCTACTTGACGCTTTCTCTATCAGATCTACGGAATTAATCGAAAGTGAAACATTCAAATAAGAATCGTCAATAAACTTTTTTATCGCAGCATTTCAATTAAAATCTTTGTGTAGAGCAGAATTATTAAATGACGTTAATATACACGATCAATAGAGCCAACTTTATAAGGATCCTTTATATCAATTAGATAAGTTTCTTCTAATCTTTCTGGAAGCACGATTTTTACTAACAAGAATTTGAACTTTTAACGATAGAACAGTTATTAACAGTAGAACCAGCTTTTTGAAGTATGACACAGTTTAATATGTAAATTACTAAAATACTACCAAACACATAATTAACATTATAATGATCGCTGTCGCGTTTTTTTTTTTGAGTATCAGTCTCTTGAAAATTCTATTATTCGAGCCAAATCTTTGCGTCCCAAGAATGAAAAAGAATGTGAGAGAATAGAAAGAAAAAGGACGAGATTAAAAGGAGGAGGGAGAGGGAGAGCTCGAGAGAGAGTAACAATAACGATCTGGTCGTCGACGAGGCCCGATCTGGCGTGTATGAGTGCGTTTTTGTGTTAATACAATTTCTAATGTCATATGCATGTGACCCTGTGTGACCAAGAGAAAAAGATGAGGAAAGAAAGAAAGAGAGAGAGAGAGAGAGACGATGAGATTACAAAGATATGACATACTGGGAGAAGAGGAGGACGACGTTGAGGTGGAGAACAGTCTCGGGGAGGTCGAGAAACAGGAAATCCGTAGAGTGACGATGGATCACTTTGTAAACGTCCGTACGACGGCCTGTGCCTGTTATCACGAGCATCGTCTTGCATGACATGGCTTGCGAGATGTACGAATGTTGTGCCTCGTTCGAGATCTGCGCATCGAGACAGCGACCATATCTCGTGCTTCCGTGTGTTGCAGCACGTGCTAAGCATGCTTCATTTTGTCACTGTATGTGTTTCTTCCGGCATGACGCGTGTAACGAAATTTTGTGTCTGTTTCCCCGATCGTCGAGGACGTTTCATAGAGGCTAACGGTGCGTCAAGGGAAAAGGGCCCTCTGAGAATCGAGGACTGGATTCCAGATACCTTTATCTCACGCTCACGTTAACCGAAAACTCAAAAGATGAAGTGCGACTGTCAAACGTTAACGTCGCATGACGCGCGAAACGAAAGCGACAGTTACAGTTATCCCCGGTTTATTAGCTTAATTAGTATAAGCCTAGTTTGCTACGATAGAAGCACAGCAAACGATTAACATGTTTATTCATCGTGTATCATCTGTTCTATTTTTGTTTTGCTCATCATTGTGTATATTTGTATCTTTTTGTTTTTTTTTTTTGTGTTGTGCGATTGTGATTCATTATGTATTCTGTCGAGATTGTGCATTTATATCGTTTATAGAAATTAGCGTGACGAACTGTTTCTAGGATAATAAATATTAGAACCTCTTATGTATGTTATTAAGATAAATTGTAGAATACCCGGTTTATTATATTTAATGAGATAAGTTTAAAAAAAACAACCAGATACGATCGATATCAGCTAATCGACAGTTTGCATGACTGCGTTTTTACCTTCTCTTTTTTATATATTCTGCACTTTACGTACTGATGAATAACACCTAAGTTACACAACTTGTTGCGTGTCCGTGAGAAGAAATCGATAACTCGTAATCTCTTTTTAGATGCACTGTCGAGAAATAAATTCTTCGACGTGTTATTTCTATTTTGTTTTACATCGTTTTTCTTTGTTTACTCTTTCATAGCTTTTCTCGCATTTTTTGCCAGTTTTTTCCGTTTCTCTCTGTTTCTTTATTGTTTCTGCTTGCTTTTTTTTTTTGCTCTCTCGTGACATAATCCGCGCTTTCATAACTTCATTGTTTTCATTGACATTACTTCCTAGTTGACCATCGATCCCTGATCCCTGCCTCTTGATATTAACATTCGATGTAATCGTTCTACCTCTCTAATTAGCATAATTTGCTCTTTATCTTACGTCTATATCGCAATTATCAAGATCTGAATTCATAATAGCCCATTAACGAAGCAAAGAAAATAATTTTCATGTTAGTTTTGCATTCTGCAAAATTATTAGGATTGAAAAAGAAGAGAACTTCGCGCGGAAAATAATAAAATATGAATTCAAGTCTCGATCGAGTCTTTTCTCTATTTCCCTTCTTCCGTTCGCCATCTTGACTGGCCACTCTTTTTCTAAATGGAAATACGCTGGTTTGCAGAATCGCGAGGGTGACCGTTCGAGAAGCGGAGGTGGTAGTGATTTCCAGAGATCGGATTCGTCCCCAGGTTCACGGCCCAGCTCGGTTTTACCGGATCTTCTTACTTCTTCACCAGGTCAACGACAGGACAAGTCAACTAGCGAGGAGGTCAGATTCATCCGTCCGTCCTGTACCTATGTGTATCTCTCTTGTCTTTTTTTTTTTACATCGTTCCTTTATGCGCGCACTTGCACATGCTTAATCTCAATAAATACTGGGGAAGCTGTTTTAGATTCGCAAACTGCGAATCCGTGCGAAATTTGACGTGCAATTAATCAAAAGTTTTAATAAGCACACACACTGATGCGAATCTAAAGATGAATTCAGAAACCAAACTGGCAAGATCGCGAGCGAATATTTAAGCGGATGAACGCACCTTTTCTTTATGATGTACCGACAAGAGGTGGAACGTATTTGATGATGGCAATTTCGGCTATCCGCATCAAATACGTATTACTTATTGAAGCAAGTTCGTTCATTCATGTTTGTTTCCCGTTCTTTGCTCGATCTAGATTCAGCTTTAATACGCGACAGTTGCGAGTGCGAGTGCGCGCATGTATTACTTTTTTTTTTTCGCAACTCTATTTTTATTTCATACGAAATACGTTTATTTATACATATATATATATATGTCTCATCGAGGCGTGAGTCTTGTGAGCGATGTGACGTACAACGTCGTTGACGACCGAGAACCTTGAGAATGATTATCATTTCGTTCAGTAGCAAATGAGAATGCTTTCCTTTCTCCGTGTTATCGGATTGTCCGAGGAGTAATGCTTTTTTTTTTTGTGATTGGGTCGAAACGTCGTTTCTATAATGTGTTACAATTATTATCGATTATTCTAAGCATACGTCGTACGAAATAGGTACGTAGCGCGTATGATACTGTGTTTACCCGCAAACCTGTGACTCGATTTATAATCTGTATATCTTGCCAGGCTTGGAAACAGACTAGTGGCAACGATAATGACACGAGTTCGCTCGACGCTTTCATATTTTCGGATGATATATCACTGGATGAAACTCAAGCTGCGCGTGATTTACATAAAACACAAATATATAT